AGTGCTTCTTTTCGTTTATTTGTCATTCTTGTCTTACTATGAATGATTTTATTAATCATGTTTAAAGTTTGTTACAATGTCCATTTTGCGGGGAGAAAGAGTGTGTGTAAAAGGTTTTGCCATCTCATTTTAATATGTGGTGGTTACCATTAATTTTTGATAAATAAAACCTATCATCATACGAAAATTCAACAAATAGTAACAGATATATTCGAAACAAGTAAAAACAAATAGTCTCAGGAAAAGACATGAGAAGATAAAGAAGACATAAGACATAAAGGAAGAACACATAAAGAACCAAGAAGAAACTTTCAAACTGGAAAAAAGAATAAGTAAAATGTAAAACCTAATAGATGGACTCAACATTGGAATGGAGAAAATAAAGGAAAGAGTAAATGAATTTAAAATATAGATACTAATCAATCTGAACAACAAAAATAAATAGACAGCCTTTCCAAGATGTGCAGTTTCACTTGGTACCTATGGAAGTATAGCAAAAGGTCTAATATTAATGTAATCAGAGTCCCAGAAAGAGAGAGAAAGGAAAGACAAGGTTAAAAAAGTGTGGAAAGAAATAAAGGACTAAAATTCCCCAAATCTGGTAAAAGTTATAAACCTATTAATTTAAGAAGCTTAAGAAGCTGCGAGTAGGATAAGGCCCAAGAAGTCACGACCAAGACATATCACAACTAAAATTATGAAAACTAAATATTACAAAAAGGTTTCAGAAACAGCAAGAAGGACCATCTGAAAACATTGAGAAGAAAGAAACAGTAATAGAAAGAGTAAGAATATGGAAAAATACAATAGATTTTTCCTCTTTTAAGTTTTCTGAATTGTTTTTTGCAGTTCAAGATAAAACTATAACACTAATGTGGACTTAAATATACATGAAGGCAGTTTTAAAGACAATTATATTTGGAGAAGATTAAAGGGACATAAAAGGTGAGACTTTCATACTTCACTCAGGCTGGTAAACACTGACACCATTAGATTGTGAAGAGTTGTATAAGTAATACCTACAGAAGTCCTTGGAAAAGAGACACAAAGATACACACGTATAAAATTGTTGACAAATTCAAATAGAATTCTAAAAAAATTCTCACATAGCTCACAGTGAGGTAGAGAAAATAAATCAGAGAAATTAATGAAAGAACAAACAGAAAACCAAAAAATTGCAGGCTGGAATTCTAACATATTTAATAATGACATTAAATATATATGGTCTGAACAAACCATTCAAAAAACAGAAATCAGCAATATGTAGTAAAAACAAATAAACCAACCATAACCCAAAGGTATGCTATGTTGTCTATAAGTATCTCTCTCTCTCTCTCTCTCTCTCTGAAAAGACATGTCATGCAAACACTGATCAAAGGTAAAAGTCATAAACCTATTAATTTAATAGGTTTATTATATTTTTCCATATTCTTACTCTTTCTATTACTGTTTCTTTCTTCTCCGTGTTTTCAGATGGTCCTTCTTGGTGTTTCTGAAATCTTTTTGTAATATTTAGTTTTCATAAGTTTAGTTGTGATATGTCTTGGTCATGACTTCTTGGGCCTTATCCTATTTGCAGCTTCTTAAGCTTCTTAAATTAACAGGTTTATGACTTTTACCAGAATTGGTTATGTTATTATGAGTAAACTTTAAAACAAGGAACTTATTTCAGATACAGGGGGATAAGATATTTTTAATGATAAGAGTCAATGTGCCAAGAGTACATCCTAGTCCCTATTTACTATGCAAAACACTATGATATATGTGGAGCAAAAACTGATAGAAGGGAAAGAAGTAAACAAATCCACAATTACATGTAAATCCCCCCTCTCAATAGTTAATAGAATAATTACACAGAAATCCAGTAGGGATAGAGAGGAGCACAACCACACTCTCAACCAATAGGATCGAGTCAATGGTTATAGAACCCTGCAGCCAACAACAGAATGCATATTGTTTTCAAATGTTGTTGGAGCACATATGAACTAGATCATATTTTTGGCCATAAAAGTAACTTCAACAAATTTAAAAGATCTGTAATCATACAGAGTGTGTTCTCTAACCACCATAGAGTCAAACTACAAAAACACTTGAAAACTAAATAAAAATAACCCATAAGTCAAATATATATTGAGCTGTGTGAAAATATAAAAGCAACATATAAAATTTGTGGAACACAGCTAAAGCAAGAGGGAAATATTTTTACACTAGATACTTAAAACAAGAAGAAGTGGCCCTCAAACCTGCAACAAGAAGTACCATTATGAATTAACACAATTTATTCAATATGAAATTTTGAATATCCCTATATTATTAACAAATTTTAATTTATAATTTAAACACTCTTAAAAAAGAAATCTTTAGGTCTAGATGGATTCTTCAGAAAAATCCACCAAAGTTTTAAATAAGAATACACAAATTCAGTACAAGTTCATCCAAAAAATGAGTACCCAATTCATACTATGAAGTTATTATTCCCTGAGTACTAAAACAGGAAAAGAAAAAACAGTACAAAAAGAGAAAACATTACAGATTAACATTCCTTATGAAGATAAACATGGGAGCCCATAAAAGTCATAGCTAGCAGAATTCAGCAATATAGGAACAGAATTACACACTAGGACCAAGTGGATTTCACCTTAGATATTCAAGGTTCATTCAATAGTCAATGATTAGTTAATGTAATCCCCCATATTCACAGGCTAAAGATGAAAAATCATGTGATCAGGTCATTAATGCACAAAAGCATGTGACAAAATTTAACGACACTGACAAAAAACAATAAAAGAGAACTTCCTCAAGTTCATAAAGAAAATCCATAACTAACATTATACTCAATAGTGAAAGAGCGTGGGATGCTTCCCCCAAGATAGGGGCAAGAGAAGGTCAGTTCTCACCAGTGCCATTTATGTAGTGGATTCTCGAGCCGTTGTGAAAAGGCAAAAAATAACAGAAAACATACATATCAGAAAGGAAGAAGTAAAACTGCCCCTCTCCTCAGAGGACAGGATTATCTATGTAGAATATTCCAAGAAATCTACCAAAAATTCTTTCTCATTCTAAATCGAATGTAAAATTCTTTACTCATTCTAAATCGAGTGTATCAAGACTATCAATTCAAAACTAATGTAAAAGTCAAATCACATTTCTAAATATTAGTAGTGCACACATGTGACCAAAAATAAGAAATATACTATTTACAAGTGAAATACTTAGGTATTACCTAATATATTTAGATATACCAAAAAATACTTAGGTGGGCATCTAACAAAATATGTACAGGACTTATATGTGAAAACTGTAAAATGTCATTGAAAGTTAAACATATGAAGAGAAATATGCTCAAGACAGCAAGGTTTTCTGTAGATATAGACAAGCTTGCTGTAAAATGTATATGCATAAGCAGGCACAGGAAGTAGGAAAAATGACTCTACTCCATTTTGAGATTTATTACTGTATGTAGTTACAGTAATTAAGACCATGGAAGGAAGTTAGATATATCTATTTCAAGGAACAGAATAGAGAGCTCAAAATTCAAAATGTAAAACCATAGTCCATTTTAGAAAAAGACATTAGACAAAAGTTTTAGACAGGGTTTGGTGAAGAATTACTGTAGTAAACACTGGAAATACAATTAATGAAAGAAAAAATTGACAAACAAGGCAATCAAAATTAAAAACTTTGTTCTGTGAAAGATACTGTCAGGAAGATAACAAGCTACAGTCTAGCAGAAAATATTTACAAGTTACTTCACAAAGGACTTGTATCTAGAATATAAAAGGAATTCTCATCCAAACAGCAAGTAAAACAATTTAATTAAAAAATGGACAAAACAGTTGGGTAGACATTTCACCAAAGAAGATACTATACTAAGATAACAAATAAGCTCATAGAATTTTCAATATCACAAGTCGTTAGGAAACTACAAATTAATATCTCAGTGAGATATCACTACCTATGTATTAGAACAGCAAAAACAAACAAACATGACTATATCAAATTCTAGAAATTATGTGTACAAAATGAATTTCTCGTGCATCACTAGTACAAATGTAAGATTGTACATTTACTCTGGAAACAACTTTGACAATGTATAAAAATTAAATCCACACATCACTGACTCAGCAATCAAAGTTCTTGGTATTTTCCATAGAAATGAAAACTGTATCAACATAAAAATCAGTATTTGATTCTTCCTGTAGCTTTATCTGTAAAAAAGCTCAAGACTGGTAACAGGCAAAATTTCCAATAAGTGAAAGGATAAATAAACTGTGGTACATGGTCAGCAAAAAAGAGGAGCAGCTATTAATATATACTACATCCACAGTAAACTTAAAGTGGGTTCAAATCACGGACAGCTTACACACATGACTGTATTTGTATAATCTTCTGATAAAGTTACAGAGCTGTGTAACAGAAGGCCCAGTGATTGCTAGGGGCCAGACAGGGTGGAGGAGGCATCCAGGTTGGGTCAAAAGGAGCCTGCAGGCTAGAAATTTTTAAGGTGATGAGGGTTCTGCAGATGGCTTTTGGTAGCGGCTGCATGAATCAGTTCTTGGGTTAAGCAGACACACAGAACTGTGCACAAACGTTGTATCTGTTAAATGTCTGGTTTCACGCTGTACCATAATTAAAATGTAATCAGTGGGTAAACTCAGTGAAGGGTACAGGGGATTGTCTATACTATCATTGCATCTCCTTGTCTTCTGCAATTATTTTTAATACACAAAATAACTTCAAATAAACCCTGCTGTGGCTGACATTTGAGAGGGGAAACCTCGAGCGCACAGAGAAACAATCCTCTATCTAAGCATGACCTGGTGCTGAGGAGTCCGCTGCGCACTCAGGATGTGTTTCTGGGGCCGCGGGAGCCGGTGGGGGCGGCGCCCGCTGAGGTAGGGGAGAGGGCGGCGTGTGCGGCTCGGCCCCACCCTCTCCGCGCCCAGCGCAGCCAGCGCGCACCGCGAGTCTGGAAATCCAGAGCCAGAGTCACCGCCGGGTCCTCGCCGGCGCTCAGCTCTCGGATACTCCGGACCAGAACTGGGGAAGAACTTTGTTTTTATTGAGCCGAGAACATTTTTGGACAATGGGTTGAGTCTCACGCACTGGTCCCCAGCTCTTTAGTGTGGGTTTGATCAGCGCGCTGCCGTCCTCCTCCCGAACCTCCTGGGGTGCCGCCCAGAGCCCCCAGCCCCCGTGCACGAACCTCGAGGGTGACCCGGCGGTAGCGGGCGGTGCCCGCGCCCCGGGAGCGCACGGCATGCAGGCGCTCAACATCACCCCTGAGCAGTTCTCGCGGCTGCTGAGGGACCACAACCTGACGCGGGAGCAGTTCATCGCCTTGTACAGGCTGCGGCCGCTCGTCTACACCCCGGAGCTGCCCGCGCGCGCCAAGCTGGCCTTCGTGCTCACCGGGGTGCTCATTTTCGTCCTGGCGCTTTTTGGCAACGCGCTGGTGGTCTATGTGGTGACCCGCAGCAAGGCGATGCGCACGGTCACCAACATCTTCATCTGCTCCTTGGCGCTCAGCGACCTGATGATCACCTTCTTCTGCATCCCGGTCACGGTGCTGCAGAACATCTCGGACAACTGGCTGGGGGGTGAGTCCGCGCCCCCTGCCTCTCCAGACGCCCCTAGCCTTCCAGGGGTCCCCACTGCACACATACCACGTTCTTCTGACCTCCCCGCACTGCTGTCGCTGTCAGATCAATCCCTTCTCCGTTCTGGGAACTTCTCCACTTGGGCTCGCTTGGAAATAAGTGTTTTCTTTTTGGCCACTTCTGGTTTGGTACAGCGTTACTTCCTCGCAGTTTAGAAATGCAGGTTGGGGTAAAGTTTCAGAAAGGTCCAGAGCGGTCACACTGCTGTTTATGGCAGCTCCTTTTTCCTTAATTGCCAGTACTTTTCTATTTTTAAATTAAAAATTTAAAAATTTAAGTTAAAATATTTCAAATAATTCTTTTAAAAGTTAAAAATTAGATAGTCTCATTTTCTGTCAACCACCAGGCTGCCTGTTCAGTTATTTGTGTGGCTTCCACACAATGTCTTTTATGTATTAGCAAGTAATTATATGTTGAAAATACAGATATGTATTTGTGGGAAAAATATCTTGGACTAGTCCTTCTTTGTGAAAATGGAGACATGCAAGGAGAAGGAACACAGAAAACAGACGCCTTCCTGATTGGAAAGGAAAGATGAAATTCTCCTCCTGAGAGCTGGGCAGAAATGGCAGAGAGACCTTGGGAGCCACTGAGGTAGGGACAGTGAGTGGAGGCTGGAAAGTAGACATTGGAACTTCTAGTCTCCACAGAAAGGCACAAATAGAGTGTTGTCACTGTTTAAGGTACCCCTAGGGAGGAAGTAAGGGTGGTACCCCCATTGTTATGAACGAGTGTAGGTACCCTTGCGGCCAATATCAAAATTCTGAGGAAATGATTGGAAATATAAGAGAAATGGACCATTGTACCTTCCAGCTGTGCCATTTCTGCCTCTTTGCTGTTCCTTCCAAAATCACAGAGGATATCCTTCATCCCACCATTGCCAAGTGGGACTCTTGGGCTGAAGATATAGCTCAGCGGCACGTGTCTACCGGGCAAGCGTGAGATCCCGAGTTTGGTTCCCGGTAGGAAAAAAAAAAAAAAAAGCCCACAAAATAAGTGGAACTCTTCAGTTCCTTCTGCTGGCATGGCTTTTTTCTATTAATTTACACTGAATACTGTTAATGGGTCTCATGGCTAAATTCTGGACACACATCTCATCCATGTGTTTCTAAAAATGTATTTCCAAAAAAACCCCACACAAGTGGAATATCTAGTGTTGATTTGAAAGTGAGACATAAAGTGGAAAGTCATAAATTAATTTATAGATTAGAAACTTTCTTGCAGTTAGGAATAATTGCATTTGGACATTTTAAAGTTGTCCAGTACAACTAACTCCATCAAATTAAGGGGAGGATTCTGGATCCTTATACAGAACTTGGTTTTTGATAAAAGGACACAAGACGGTGCTGGAGATATAGCTCAGTGGGAATCAAAAAGGCTTGCCTAGCATAAGTGAGGTCCTGTGCTAAATGCTAAATCCCCAATAAGACACACACACATACACAGGCACAGGTTTTATAATTTTTAAGAGTTTCTAAAAGGCTGATTTACGAGGTGTGTGAGTATTGCTGGATGATTATAGCTCTGTTTGTAAAGGTGAATGTAATTAGGCACTATGAAATCTTTTAATGGAAATGAAAAGACATGGATAACTACTTTGGCTCTGACACATGTAAACTCAACAAGTCTGGTCCTCAGTTTTTGCAATAGAAACTGAGAGAATTAGAGAAGTGTGCAAGAGGAATGAGGTAGGTCTTTAACCTGAGCCATACTGAGGAATGGTGCTAAGACCCTGGAGCAGTCTTCCCTACTGAGGGCAGAGGTGGGCACTACCAAAGTTTTTCTCAAGCTGTTTTCCCTGATTCCCACTTTGTGGGGGACATTTCACTTGAGTTTGTAAATACCAAAAATAAAAAGAATATTTTGCTTGTGTATTTTATAGGGTTAGTGTGAAAATAAAGTGTGTTAGTAGAATGCACTGGAAAAAAAGCAGATCACACGGTGAAAGTATGAAGCAAAACCTAAGGCATGTTTAATTGGAGGTGGTCCAGGTTTATCTAGGATCAGATTTATGGCACAGATCATATTCTATAATCAAGCAAATAATGCCAAAATTGAGATTCAGGGGAGACAGCTTGCAAACGACATAAAAATAGCTATAGAAAGAGAATTAACTTGTCTATTATAGGATAATAATGGCAAGACTCCCTTGACAAATTTTTAAAAAGAGCATTCAAGAGATTATAATCTTGGAGTAGATATTAATTCATAGTTTATTGTTTGATAAAGCCATTGAGTATTTTCTATATGGAAAAGCCCTCTACCCCGGGGAATACAAACATGAAAGCTCACCTAGGCCTCTATGGGTCTCAGAACACAGGAGATTCTCCAAGTAAGCAAAGTCGATTGTGAGGGAAGGGGATCTAATCTGATGTTGGAATCGTTGGGGAGAGTCAGAAAGGCTTCCTTGAACAGATGACAGTCCAGCTGAGTCTTGAGGAACAATGTAGATTGTTTTTAGCAGAGGATGGAGCATGTTGTAGGAGCAGAGGGTCACTGCAAAGTTTGAAAGAGAGAAAGGTGATGTCTTTTAAGAAAACTAGGTAAAGCATTTTAAAAATATACAGTTGGTATATGGGGAATGGTAGAAAAGGAGACAGGAATATGGGTTACTGCGACTGGGGACAGTATGTGTATTATGTAAAAACTGAAGAATGAACACCTTTCACATTTCTGCAGAACTGAGGTGGGGGAAACAAAGCTACGAAAATGACCAGGAGACAACAGTGGTCAAAGGAAGACTACTTCATGGGAAGGGGCAGAGTACTGTCACATCTTCTTTTCTTATAGTTATTGCTGTACACCCCCATACCCCTATCCCCTAGAAGCTGGGAATATAGATTTTTATGATGTTGACTCCTAATTCAAATTTAAAAAGTAAAATGCAGCATGTTAAATGGAAAAACATCTATCTTGTGGACGTATAGCTTATGACTTCTCTAGGAAATCTCCCTCTGAAATGTCTCAGGCAGAGGTAAGGTTGTAAAGGACTGTTTTCCCTCTTCAGACCATTCATGTCCTCTGTTAGGGACCAGCGGCATGGACCAAGTCAGCACCTGCACTTTAACAAGCCACCTGGTGACTCCTATGCACATTAAACTTGGCTAAGCACTGTTCAAAGTAATGATTCTCAGACGTCCCAGTCCAGAGAACCTCCTGAAGGACTCATGAGGGGTTAAATTACACTTGACCATTTGGAGCCAGCTTGCACTGACTCGCAGAGCTTTTCTTGCAGAATGCTACCCAGGTCCTCTTCAGGGACCCCATGTTGTCACCTTAAAATGGGTTCTGGTGAGAGATTTACACCACAGAAACCTGCAGTTACCAATTAGGCCTGCAAAACAAACAGGAAAATCACCTTTTTTCAACACACCACTGAGTAAAGACATTAAATGTCCTTTTGATTTTCAGTGACAGGAGGAATAAAGTGTAGCCGTAAACATTTAGTTTATTTATAGGAATCACTCAAGTCAGCAAGAGAAACACCTGTCAGCATCTAAGTGTTGCCCAGCAGGAAGTGAATTGACTGCACTGTTTCTTTTATCTCCCTGGTTACCTGCCTCTTATCAGTTCTTTGACCCACTAATTGATTCACCCTCACACCAGTTTGCAGGAATTCTTTCAACGTGGAGCTAGAAGTCTGGGTTTTCTGTCCCTAAGAACCATCAATAGTATATATTGTGAGTTTTCCTTTACCACTAATGTGAGGACAGGTTGTGTTGCCATGGCATTTAGAAGCAGGGCCTGGGCACTGTATCGGTTCTCCCCTCTGATCATTTGGTCAGATGTCAGCAATGAATTTGCCCCCTGCCCTCCTGTGACCATCTCATTTACCCATCCTTATCTGTAACCTCCTTTTTTGCCTTTTTTCCTCCTTTTTGTATCTCTTTCTTCACAATGTGTAAATGCCCCCCTAACTTCATGGACTAAACAGTTTTGCATCTAGACAAATTCAGAACAGTGAATTTTGCACTGACCAATGTTCCAGAATATAGCTTGTACTCTAGGTTATACCAACCTGTATGAACTGATTGGTATAAACTGCTACTTTCTATCTTTGTTTTTTAATTTTTTTTCTATTTCTTCATTTATGTTCTGCCTTTTGGTGATTTTCACACTTTGTTATGCTTTGTGAGTGTCTGCTGAAGCTTGGTATGAAATCTCCTTTCTTTCATAATTCATTTCTGCATAGAGGCCTTTGTGGGGTCTCTCATTTCTTTGGCAATGATTCTGAAATCGGTGTCTAATCATTCCCTTCAGCCATAGTCTTTCACCTGATTTGAAAATGGGGCATTAACACATGGATAACTTGTCAGTATCTAATTATGCTCTCATCCTATTTTGTCCATCTGCCCAGGGTCTAAATTAAAATTAATGGTACTATGAATCATTCTTCTACATTTTCTGGGCATCTACTTTGTGTACTGGAATATTGTAGGTATTGAGAAAGCTGTGTCTTTGTGGAATAGCTAGGTTTCAGTTGGATCAAAAAGGGGCAAGAAGTATTCAACGAAGAGGTGGAGAATGCTGGGGGTGATCGATTGGGGGTGTATGTGTCAGTCTTCCAGATTGCACAGTGCACGTGTTGGGACTGAGGAGATGGAATCAGATTAGGAGATGTTTAGAACCTGAAGGGTTTGAGTTTAGGGGAAAAGGATGGTCTGAGACAGTATCAGACTTGTGGTGCCTGAGGTAAATGAAAACTTAAGGTGTAGGATGATGAATTCCGAGTAGCTCCCAAAAGGAGGTTGAAGATCAATTCTAGTCTTCTTGGTCCTAGCCATTAATAAAATGAGAAGGGGCAGGTGTGGAGTATGATCCTACTGAGAACTTGGCAAGCTCTGCGTCCACTTTCATCCTGCATGGGTACAGCTAGAGCCCAGGCAGGGCTGGTTACCGTGGCTGAACACAGAGCTCTTTGGGTCTCCTTGCAGTCCTGC